AAAAAAAAAAAAAGAATAATACAATTCAGATTAAAAATTCCGAGAGCAATTTTCCTGTAGCCATTTGATTCAATGCAATTTTAAAAATTCTGGGTTAAGAACAAATTCCAATATAATGCGTGCCTGTAAATTATTTTGAATCACATGTATAATGAATAAAAAGCACCACGGGCTAAAACATGACTGTGCATCTACATTTTAAACAGTACATTTCAATCACACCAGACTCCTACGTTAAGAATTCACTTCTTAGGAAAAAAAATTACAAAAAATTTATTTTTGACATCACCATTATAAAAAAAAAAAAAAACAGCACTTTTATATGATCCATAAGAACTGGAAAATGCTTTGGAAGCCGTGTAGATGAGTGGTTCTAAAATACCTGCCCCCAAACTGGTTGTCAGTCCCTGACAAAGTTTTCACCAGATCTCCAGCATATGGAGAAAAAATAACAGAGGTTTGCACATAACCGAAAGTTTCATATAACTAAAGGTATCTGATTTAAATAATTACCCTTTATTCTGAGATTGTGTTCTTCCTACTGCTCTGTTTTAGAATGTCCTCCTTTTTCTGCACGCTTCCCCCTCATACAGTCACCTGTCAACTCTGTGCCTTGCCACTATCTCCATTTACTTTTAAAATTCTTTTTAGCATTCTAGCCTTTGGCTACCAATAATCAGACAAAAATCTAAGACAGCAAGTTTAGGCAAAAGTGTAGTAATAACAGTACTAAACCAGCCTCTCCCCAAAGCAAGAATCTTTGTTAGTGCATTTCTGAGAAGTGCTCACATTTGAATGAGTTCTGTTCTAGAAAAATAATTTTCTATATGCATACCAAAAACAAAACAATATTTGTGCAAAGATGATGATGTATGTGATCTACAATTTTAAGGATAAACTTTGTGAAAATGACCATGCTAACTTGTTACCTAATGATACCAAGAAAAGCATGAAATATTTGCTTTCAAAGCAGAATAACTTGAAAGAATAACAAAATTTAAAAAAAAAAAAGAGAGAGAGAGAGAGAGAGTATGGGAGGAAAAGTCCCTAAGGTATCAAAGGTAGAATACTGAAAATAAAATGTAAAATAGTGAAGTATGACTTTACCAGAGTGAATTAATAGAATGGTAAAAGAATTCCATTTATCTCCATATAGCTTTTCCAAACATCGAAGGGCACAAAGTGTTGATCCTCCATTTCCTTAAAAGTAAAGTTAAAAAAAAGTACAGTTTATTTCATAGAAACCTACTAAAACTTTGTAATGATGGTAAATTTAGGAGGCATAACTTCAAGGCTCTAGTTTTTAGGTATAATCTACTGGGAGACAGACACTAAACATATTGACAAAATGATAAACTTAAATACATCCCATAGCAAATAGACAATTGGTAATGAAACCCTCAATAATAAATGAGCTAATATTCTCACAAAACAGTAATAAAAACAGAAGAAATGATAAATTACACAATGTCCAATGCTATAAGACTCAAGTACAAACATTCATATGGAATTACGATGCCCCCTTAAACAATTATCCCATAAGACATAATTAAATATACAAGTTAGATTGCCTTTCTAAAGAGAGTTTTAGAACCTGGTTTCCTAAAAAATATCTGAAATACAACCACCACACTAGTTACCTTGGGCAAATTAAGTCTCAGTGCCTCAGATCTCACCTATATTGTACTGACCTTTTAGTTTTCAGTGTTAAAACAGCATTGGCTAACTACAACAATGCTAATGTGATATAAAGACACTTTATCTCTGGTATCAAGTGGCTTCAATTTTAAGTATTACAATGAAAAAAAGCTTTCAGGAATATAGCATTGATTTTTATTTGCAAAAGAGAGTCAAAGAACAAAATTGACCAAAACTGGAGTTTTAAAATCAATACTTTATAATAGTTATGCCATTAGTCTGTACTGTTTTGGATTCTGTGTTGTGGTCCCAAAAGGCTAAATGTTTATTTTTTTTCCAAATTTGCCTTCTTCATATAAATTTCTGAAGAAACTGTTGGGTAGGGAGGGACCTTAAGGGCTCTACTGTTAAGGTTCACAATAATATTCACCATGTGACTACATTTTAATAAGACAAATAAAATTCTCTTTCAAGTACCATTCTGAAAGTTATTGAAGCTAAGTCACAATGGGTACGGTTTCTTTTATCTTTCCTAAAAAATAAGTCAATTTACTTTCAAATTTTAAAGTTTATAAAAGCGCTGGGAGGGGTATGCAGCTTATACATGGTAAGCCACATAATACTTTTCTTCAATGATTACTGTGCCCAGAACCTATGTTATAAACCTCACCATAAAATGCATACCAATTTTGGCTCCAGCAGGATCAACAAACACATGATATTGAACTCCAAGGGGTAACTCCTTTCTTTTCAGCTTTTCTGACAGCTGTTGCTTATAAGCAAGTTCTTGTTTTTCATCAGCTGCTGTTATTGCAACTATGTCCCAGAATTCTCCAGCTGCCACAGATTTCCCTATTTGGAAAAAGGAAATGGAAACAAAAACCATAAATGGTAACAAAAACCCTCAGAGTTTTCTAGCTGTCATAGGTTTGACTATTTGGAAAAAGAGGGGGGAAGGTTAACATTTATTATCATCTTCAAAAATGTTACTTTCTGGATTTGAGAATTAGGGAATAACTAAGGGCACATTAGTATGATCCAAAATAGAGCTAGTGCAGATTGCTTCCAAGTTTTGTTTTTTTTTCCCCCCTTTTGATTACTCTCTCTTTTTATGGTCTATAATAGCATTTATTTAGAAATTCCAAATTTACTTTTCAAAGATATATTGTTTCTTGATTAAGATAGGTACTTTTAACTTGTCAAAGACTATTACCTCAATTCTTAAATAAGAAAAGGAGAGAAAGAAATAAATGAATCTCCAACTTTGAAAAATCAGTTCTCATATTTCGGGGCCACTTCGTGTTTATTGTCTAAGAAACATTCAATCCAAGGATCCGTTTGTTCAGCGTTGCTTTTTAAAATGTAGATATTTTTATTTTTTTACCACTTTAGACAAGCCATGCAAGCTCATGGGGGCTATTAGAATAGCACAAAATTTTTGATAATAAAGTCCCAATTCCCTGATGAACTCATTAAAAGACAGACCGCACTTTTGGTAGACAGCCGAAATCTCTTCTTTATTAACGAAAAAGATGCATAAGAGTTTTTTTTTTTTTTATTAGTTAACGGGACTTGTCAGCTAGAATCTAATAGCTCTAAACATTTTGCTGTTTTCCCAGTTTTAGTGCCTGTATTTTTTTAAGCATTCATAGATAACTGTATAGGGAATGACAAATGACAGAGCCTGTTTTCTGATGTCAAAGTTCCTCTTTTAAGTTTTTAATCTGTAACTTCTTCATGTTATATCCCCCCTGCCCCCAGTAAGCGATTACGGAACAAATTGGGGAAGTAGGTGGGTAGGTAGACGGATAATGTCAGATCATTTCTAAGGGTAAAAACGCTTCAGATCTTTTAGATTTATTTAAAACATTGTTTATTAACAATCTAAACAATGCATAACTTCTCTCAAGTTAGCTTTCTTTCTTCTCCTTCCTCCTCCGTTGTTTTGATACCTAAACTACTAGAAATAAAGAAAGAAACTAACATAAGGTAAATAAGGGACAATAACAGAATTAAAAACCCAAAAGGAATTATCAGCCAGTTCTTCCGGGGCCAGTGTCCCAAGTCTGCAGGTGAGAAGCAGACAGGAGGGGACAGTCCAGCAAATCTCCTCAGAACTAAATCACTCCCCCCTCCATTAACCCAGAGAACTCGGGCTCCTTCTTCTGTACCTCTCAATTCTGAAAACCTCCGCAATTTTCGTTGAGTGGCTTCTCTCAGAGACACTTCTGACAGGGCCCCCGCCGCTGCCATAGCCCCACCAGCTCAGCCCGCGCCGCACAGCACGCATGCGCCCTAGGCCGAACGCGGCCGTCCGTCCGGGCGTCTCTGCCCCGCCCCTTCCGTGCGTCACTCACGTAGCCACGCCCCCAGAGCGCCCAGACCAACACCTGAAAAGCCGTGATGGGGTGATCCGTGATCTCTCCTTAGTAACGGCCTGTGGAGCAGATGAACACCTAAGCGATTTGTCGGACGGTGCAGGGTCTGGGCCTCCTATTCTCAGCTCCCGAGGCCTTAAAGCCCGATTGCCCCGGTGAGTGGTTCAGTCTGGGCGGCAAAATTGTTAGAACCGACCCTCTAAGGAGGACGACGAAAGTGCAGCAGGGTCCCACTTTGTCTCCTAAGGCGACCCGCCCTAACAGGTAGTTTGGATCAGCCAGGAGCGGTTCCCAAGGCTGACTTGACGTATTTCTGCCCCCGAGTCATCTCTTGCCTTGTGACTTCTCTCTTGGTTGGAGATGCAGCCTGAATATTTGAAATGTATTCTCTTTAGGAACCTTAAGTTTTTGGCTTCTTTGCCCTTGCTTCTCCTAAAGCATAAGCCACCGCAGCTCTGTTCTGGGTTTACTTAGTAGGCTACACAGGCCAGCCTCCCGGGTTTCTGCACCCAGGCTCAAAACATCTGTAGGATGTTGGGTGCTTCTCTGTCATCTTGTTGTATATGCAGATGTTCTGTATATTATTAAATGTAATATTAGTAACATTTAGTAACAAATCTGTCTTCTTAGATGTATTTTTGGTAGCTATGTTTAGGTATTTCTCTAGTAGAGCACCAAATTTATAATGAGTTTTACACATTAAATTCAAGCTGAGAATCAGAGAAAATAATGACTTAGTCAGGCTATCGCAATTAGTAAGTAGTACAAGGTTTAAGAAATCTATTTCAGTCTCAAACCCAGAGCTCGTTCTACCACACCGTACCATTTATGTGAGAACCCTGCACTTCTTAAGATCTTCATCAGGCGTATAAGCACTATAAGCTCGTTATAAACTTAGTTTTTCTTCTGAAGACCTGACCCTGTTACTTAATTGTGCACTAAGCATTAGGGTAAAAAGGCAGATAAATTATTCGTAGTTTTATCATTTAAAACTTTTTTTGTTAATGAACATTCTTCTTAGTAAATACAGAAGACTTGAGAGTGAGCAAAAGTGGAAGTAGCAAGAGAAGGTCAGAGGGTTAGCAAAAGGCCCTAGAGATGATTTTGGTTTTTACTCTTGAGTGAAGCAAAACCAGTGCAGAGATTTGGACTGACTTGCCTTATAGGGATATTTAAAGAGATGGTTCAGAAATATGAATACATGAGATGGGGGTGATAGAAGAAGGGAAACTTGTTTGGAGGTTACTGTAATAATCCAGGTGAGAGGTATTGAAGGCTTGACCAAGGTGCTAACAGTGGGGATAAAGAGAAGATTCTGGATATATTTTGAAGACAAAAATTATTAAACTGTGCTGATGGAATAGGAATGGGTCACAGTGTGAGAGAAAGGAGTCAAAAATGACTTGGCTAAAGATGGACTTGCCATCAACTGAGGGGGAAAGAGTTTGGATGGGTAAGTTGGTGAAGTAATAGATAGAATCCAGAAATTTGTTTTAGACATGTAGAATAAGCACAATATCTGTATCTATATCTACATAGATATAGATATACACTTATGTCTATGTATACATGCAATGCATATGTAATGGAAGTTTGTGTGTGTATGTGTCTGTGTACATTATTAGACTCCTGAGTCTGGAGTTCAGGACAGAAGTCTGGGTTAGAATGACAAGGCATGGTGGCTCACGTCTATAATTCCAACACTTTGGGAGACCGAGGCTAGAAGGTCACTTGAGGCTGACAGTTTGAAAATCTGTGTTAGAGGTATGTGGCATAATTTTGAGAATGTCAGCATATAGGTAGAATTAATTTTAAAATGTGGAACTAGGTAAGCGCCAAGGGAATGAAAGTTAACAGAGCCTGTATACTTGGGGACTACATTCCAATTAGGTAAACAATGAAAAATAACCAAATTTAAAATAATCAGATAATGAAAATAACTGAGGGGACTAAAAAAGAGTGATGTAATAGACGCTGTCACATAGAGCATTAAATGGAGTATTTGTTGGATATGGGAATGATGGCTGTAGAAATAGACATCAGTTTTTCCCAATATGACTACATTATTCTCATAAAAAATACTGGAAGTAAATATGCCGTAAAACCAATGGTTTTCGTTCTCCTCCTTTCCTGTCTAATTTTCATTAGTATTAATTTTTAAGTTAAAATTTGAAAAAGTACAATCTGAGAGGGAATAAATTTCCTTGGCAGTTGACTGTTGAGGTTAAAAAGTCTAGGCATCGTATTTGTTTATGATGATTGTTTAAATAGTCTTAAGCTACCGGAGTGTTATTATTATATCAGTGTATTTGCCACAGAGTATTTGCAGGTATTTATGAGTATTATTCTACCCGAGTAAAATACACCAACTCAGCTAAGTAGTAAACCCATTGATTGTGCACAAATAACATTGTTTGGTTTTGGATTCCACATTTTCATAAGGCCACCAAACTAATTGAACTATAATAAATTGAAAAATAATATTCTGTATAGGCATTTGGGCTTTTTGTTCCTCTTGAAAGAAAGGCAGTCATAGAGAAAAAAAAATGTCTACAGAAAACTAAGGGAGAAAATGAAATAGAAGTTTAGGGCTCAGGGGGCGTTTTCCCCTCTACTACAGAAAGGTAGAGACATACCTTTGTTATACCAGCCACATCCTTCCCCAACACTTTATTGACACTTCAGGCTGACTGGGCTACACTGGTCCCATGATGGAACTCATATTCAAAAAGAACATGAATTTTTCACTTATCTGTTGTTTTGCAAAAAATTGCTGTAAAATGTTTTTTAAAAGATAATCACAAGCCAAAATGTACATTTGAAAGAATGAGGATGTATCGTCACAATATAAATAAAACAAGAAGTACCAAAGTGAAATGTCAGCGATATCAACTGTCATACTTAGTACCTAAGGAAATTGGACATTTCATGTTTAATATAACCTAAATATTTTTGTTCCTTTTCTCTCTGTGTGGCTTATGAACTGCTGGAAAAATCAGAATTTGTTCTAACCCAATATCAGGTAACTGAGGGTGAGGCGATGCTTTACGAGTTGGGTCTGAGTCTTAAGAAAGCCAACAGGTTCTGACTTTATGCTTTTGGGAGCCCTGAGTTAAGCATGTGGAGAGTCTGGCTTCCCTATTGCAGACACAGGTGGATGGATGACATGGAGAGTCCTGATCAAGATGAAGGCCTTGAAACAGAACAGAACCAAAGGCCCAGTACTTTCAGCATTCCAGCTGAACTCAACCTTCTGACTGTCTTTGCCATAGCATCAGACTTGGGAATGAACCATTTTAGATGGGCCAGTTCACTTGAGGCCCATAGGACTGAACCTTTAGCCCATGTTACTTAGACATGTATTGAGCTCTTACGCAGTTCTTGGTCCCATGCTAAACTATGAAAATAACTAACTGTAAAATAAGTTTTCTGTTCTCAATATACATGTAATTTAGTAAGAAAGAGGATCATTAATAATAACAAATAAATATACAATCTCTAAATTGGGAATGTGGACAGGACCAAAATCTAAATAATGACTAAGCAATTATTTGCCAAGTGGGATTACTAAGAGAGAAGCGTGACATCCTAAGATAGAGTTTAGGATATTTCATTAATTAAGAAGCCAAACTTTTGAATTATTTAGAATTTTACTTCATGGATTAAATAAAAATTAATATTTCAATGCTATCCATTTTTCTTTACCATGATTAATGGTATTGGATTTTCTTTAAAACTTTTAAGAATTAGGAAACAGACTTTTGTTGTTGTTTTTCAATTTCTGAAGCCATGAAGCCTGGGAGTCCCCTTAAGAACTTTAGTATTCTTTTTTTTAATCATAATAGTTATATTTTTAATTAAAGCTAAAAACAGATATGTGTACAACATGGGAAAATGCGTTATGCTAAGTGATATGAAGATTATCTCAAATAATTTGGATTTAATCACACTAGTATTTAATTCTTACCCTTTTTACTTAAAGTAGACATCTTCTTGATTAAAGCTACAGTGTACACTATTGTACAAAAAGGAGAAAAAAGATGTTGAATTATGTAATGTCAGGAAGATTATCTCAAATTTGGATTTGTATGACCCAGTAATCCTTTTCTTCCTCAGACTATATGTCTCATTTGTAAGATGTTTTCACATAAGGCAAGAATATCACTCAAACTAATTCCCTAATTATTGTCTCTAGAAAATCTCAGGACAGTGTAGAAATGATGGAGCCACGTAAGTCCAGCGTGGTGAGTTAGATGGTTTATCAGCGATCACTCACACAGGTATCCACACCGCATGCAGGAGGCTTTTGTTGGCTCTTCACTCCGTGCCCAGGCACTTCCCAGACATTCAGTTCTCCAGCTGTTCGCTTCTTGCACAGGGATTCTCTGGCTCTTCACTCTTTGCACAGGGCTTCCCTGGACATTCATTCCTGGGCAGGCAGCAGTTACTCTTCTTTGGAGAGTTAACCTGTGCTGTTTACTTGTGATCTTGCCTAACACAGCTCTCACACTGTATCATCGCATCTTCATATGGAAACAAATCAGGCATACACAGTACAACCAGGTACCTGCATATCACCTGTGTAAATGTTATAATTTTCCACTAGGCAGAGATTTACCTTTAGAATTAGCTAAAGGGTATCATAGGTCAGCTAAAACAGTTCTAAGCAGTCAAGCCTGGTTTGCACTGGTTGCCTCTCCCTTAAAAGTGATGGGTCACATCTCTTTTCTGTTATAACTATTTTTCGGCATTTGCTGAATCTATTTGGCAACAATTCTGTTGAGCACCACCAGCTAGCACGACATAGTGCACCCCTATGTGTGGTGGGAAACATGTAATTATCCCTCAATTGTACATTACTCATTTCATGTAGAAAAAAATTTGAACATATTTAAAAATTCCACGGAGAGGAGATGTTATTTTATGACATTGGTTACAACAGTATTAACGTCACAAGGCTTCTAAGGTTATTCATGTAATAGGTAAAGTCTGAAAGCTCCACATAAGTAGAGAACCTCTCATTTTATAAAATTAGTAGACAGAAGGTCTTATTTTTGAGTGATACCATTAGTAGGTCATTAACATGTTCAGATGACATACAGACAACATTAATCCAGAAAATATAAAGTAGAAACTTATTGCTGATTGATGAACCTACAGACATAGTTGTTTTTAGTTAAAAACATTGCTTGATTTTTTTCTTATTTTAATAGATTTAGAGGGTTCACCTTAAATTCCATTACATATATATTGTATAATGGTGGACTCTGGGCTTATGATGCAACGCGCCACCCCGGTAATGTACATTGTTCCCACAGGTAATTGTCATCCCTTACAACGTCCATTATGCTACTCTGTGCGCCCTTGTGTAGCTGTAGGTTAGCTCCCACTAATAAGTGAGAACATGAGTTACTTGATGTCGGATAACGGCCTCTAGTTCCATCCAAGTTGCTGCAGAAAGCCTTATTTCATTCTCTTATAGTTGAGTAGTACTCCCTCGTAAGTGTATACACTACATTTTCTTAATCCACCCTTCAGTTGAAAAGCATTTAGGTGGACTCAGTATCTTTATGATTGAATAGTGCTATCCCTTAAATTAAGTCTGAAAGAAAATACTATTTACTACAAAGAAATTTCAGAACAGATGATTGGAGATGTAATTGTCAGTGTGAGAAATAGTTTAAAATAAAAACATTTTGTATGTTCATATAGCTATCTATGAGTACATATTTAACTTTGCGTGTGTCTATATATATACATAAAAATATATATACAGTTTGTGTACTCTGCAGTGGTGAAATGTAGAAAGACACTTCTAGTGTTATGTGAAGAAATGGCACCTCAGATGTTCCATGTTGGTGGGTGTTGGTTATCCAAAGCTTTTGTTGTGAGTTTATCAGCTATTAGAAAAAAAAAGGAAAATTAAGATAATGAAAACTTAAGCCACACACTGAGAGAAAATCTTTACAAAATGCATACCTGATAAATAACTGGTGTCTGAAATAATACAAATAACTCTTAAAATTGACGATAAGAAAACAATGATGACATCCTGGAAAAGATAAAACTATGGGGACATTACAGGATCAGTGGTTGTCAGGGACCTGAGAGAGAGGGAGGGAGGGATAGCTGAAGCACAGGGGACTTCTAGGAAATGACACAGTAATGATGGCTGTGTCATGTATTTTTCAAAATACATGTAGAATGTATAACGTAACAAGCGAACCTGAGTGTAAACTATGGACTTTAGTTAATAAAGTGTTAACATTGGTTCATCAGTTGTGTCATATGTACCACACTTATGCAGGATTTTAATAATAGGGGGAGAGCTATGGGGGGTGGAGAGGCATGAGGGAGTATATGGGAACTCTGTATTTTTCACTCAGTTTTTCTAGTAAGAGCCCCTGATCTCCAGATTGTTTACTAATTTTAAAAAATTACATGCTCATAAAACAAATGATGCATTTCTTTGGTGTATGACTTTCACTTTATAGATTTCTTGCCGAATAGTTTTTGGCTTCAAGAAATGGATTCTATACTTTCTATTCTATTCTAAACTTTTGAATATTGTCTATCTTGAAATATCCTGATGTGACCCATGTGTGGTCTCTCACAGCCCTGTTATAAACTGTTACTGGAGTTAGCCTGTCTTTTTACCAAAATCATACTTTTTAAAGTATGTCTTTAAAAGAAGAGCCTGAGAGATTATTAGGATCTTTTCTATTTAGAGAATCCACATGGCCTATAGGATACATGTGGATACCACCTTGCATTCTAGGATCTACTACATGGGTTTAGTTTGCAAAGGTTTGTTCATACATCCTGCTGTTCATATGTGGAAGACTTATTTGCCTGTAGTTTAGGCTAATCTTTCTCAAAGTGTTTATGATTTGTGTGTTAAATTATAGATTCTTGGGTCGTTAGCCTAGAGATTCTGATACAGTCGTGATAAGACAGGGCCCTTTAACTAAATTCCTTAGGTGATACTTAAAAGTTTGAGGATTTTGGTTTTATGCCCTTGGCCAGGGTATATTATAAAAAGTAGACAGTGTTTTGAAAGAGTATGAGAGTGTATCTGGACTTTCACATTTATTCTCATTTGAATTATACTGATTTAGTTTACCCACACATGGTAAAAATTGATACTTCCAATGGTAAAGGTGGTTAATCTTACAAGCGTTTAAATAGACCACTTGAGCTCCTAATTCTCTTCACAGCTATCCCTGACTGACTACCTTTTATGAAACCTGAAATTACCCATAACATAGGAAAAGTCATATGTATGAGAATACCATAAAATTATATCAAAAAGTTTTGATCCAAAAGTTTTAGATAAATTAGTCAAATGTTAAAAGCTTAGAATTTTGTATTCTAATTGGCTAACTGAATTGAACAGAAAAAAATGTGATAGTAAATTGTCTCTTAAAAAATAAATATTGTTGATAATAGCTGAAGGCCCCAATTGCACTTTCATTTCATTTAATCTGTAGTTTTTCAGCGTCTTTGACATAGTCTTGATTATGACAGAGATTGTCACTCTCCTGCCTTGTTCAGTATTCAATACATTCCTTTATTGAACAATGTCTTTTAAGCAAAATTATTTTACCAGCTGTGCAAGATACAGTTTGTCATTAGTTGTCTTGCCTGAAAGTGATGTTTTATATCAGTTGCTTCACTAATTTTCATGTTAAGTATTCTATGAAAAATTAAATTTTTCTTCTCTTACTGATTTCTTAATTGGTAAGAGCAGTGATAGCACTCTAAGTAGTAGTTTTAGACATGTTTGATATTTAAGATATTTGGGGATAGAAGTTCTATAGGATTTAGATTTTTTTTTTTCAATTTCAACTTTTCTGTTCATTTTTATTCTACCTATTTCTTACCATTTTTTTGTTTGTTCTCAGATTTTGGAAAGTTGAACAAAATCTTTGAAAGCAGTCTCTCATCTTTCCTAGATGTTTCATGGAACAATCAGAGAAGAGTTAATCAGTCATGAAGAATGGAGTCATTACAATGAAAACATAATAGAAGATCAAAAAGATTTTGTCTTTATGAAGTTCAGTGGGCTTCACTTAAAATCTATGGAAAGTTTTCAAACTTGTATATCTCTTAGAGTAGGCATCTTCTCAAACAATTTTATCACAGATATTCATCCATTGCAGAGTTGTACCAAATTAATCAAACTTGATCTCCATGGAAATCAGGTAACAGTAGCTATTTCACATAATTGCATATAAATGAAATTTAAGTAGAATAATAATGTTATCTATCCATAATATTTTTCTCAGTCTTTTAAGTAAAATAAACAAAATTTAAAAACAAATGAAAAATATTTAAAAAGTATATAAATCCAAAATTTTAAATGTAAACAAAAGTAAAAAAAAAAAATAAAAGCATATAATACATGATTTGGTACATTTTACTACTCAAATCTGTAGTCTGGATTAAGGATACTTCTTCAGCTGGGCACGGTGGTAAGTGGCTGTAGTACCAGCTACTTGGAGAGTTGAGGCAGTGGAATTGCGTGAGCCCAAGGGTTCAGGGGTGCAGTAAGCCGTGATCACACCACTGCACTGTAGCTCGGATGACAGGGGTAGACTTTGTCTCAAAGACAAAACAAAACAAAACATTTTACTATTTAATTCTTTATTTGAGGAAAGTATTTTAGAAATGTTTAAACAGTCATCCTAATACAAAGTAATACATACAATGATGTATTTCATTACTCTAATGATTGCAATGAAGTAATGCATACATCCTAATACAAAGAAATACATACGATGATGTATTTCATTACTCTAATGATTGCAACTTAACTTGTTCCAGATGCCCAGTATGTGCATGTTTTTCCCCCGCATTATTTGGATAATTAGTAATGCTCTTTTTGCTTATTAATTGCCATATAGGAAATATTGAATTTTAAAAGATGTATAATGTTTACTATTTTCCATGCTATTTATAGAAAAGTAATAGTGGAATTCAAAATATTTTTAATAACATTTCAGATAAAGCTTCTACCAAATACTAAATTTTGGAGTGGATTGAAGAACCTGAAACTCCTCTATCTTCATGACAATGGATTTTCAAAGTTAAAAAATATATGCGTATTATCTGCTTGTTCAAACCTCATTGCTCTCACTATGTTTGATTGTCCAGTAAGTCTTAAAAAAGGATATAGACATGTTCTTGTTAACAGCGTGTGGTCTCTGAAGGCGCTGGATTGTCATGTGATATCTGACGAAGAAATCATTCAGAGCTGGAATCTTTCTGAAAGATTTAAAACATGTAACCACCGACTTTTCTTTAATTTCTGCCCTGCTTTAAGAAAGGTAATTGGCTTCAATAGGATTTCATTTTAAATAAATTTATAGAAGTAAAACTTTAGTTTATAAGATCTATAAATTATTGAACTCTTTAATATTTTTGCATCATTGATATAAAAATTACAAACCAATAAATTATTAGTAATAGTAATGTATCTTAACATTTATAAAAGTTTGTATGTCTATTGCACAAACAAAATTAAGCCCCAAATGATAAAATTGTAGAGAAACAAATGTTTCTTTTTCAAATTGAAAGTAGATCTCTAATTTATTCATGCTTGGGTATATGAATGACACCCAGAGGAAATTTTTGATAATTTTTTAAAGTACCTTAAAAGATCATTTAGATTGTTATTGGAAGAGGATAAAATATTCAATTCTGAATAATTTGGTAACTTAGGGAAAAACCATCATTATCTGTTGATTTATAAATACTGGAAGAAGTGATTGAGAAAACTCAATACCTAGTTAGAGGTTATAGAATACCGAAACAGTAGGTAAAATATAAGTAAAACTTTCTGTATGACATAAGAGTAACACTTTGTTAGAACAAATGAATCATATAAGAATTCAAAAGAGGGTGTTAACTCTGCAGCTGTTAGGAAAAAAATAGGTGAACAACATCGTAAGTAAAAAAATTTCAGAAAACCGTTTATAATATGTTTTAAATATATATAAATTCACATATGTATATGATAAAAATTTAAATATGTTTAGATAATTTAAGGAAGAAGAGAAAATCATTTCGAACAGTGATTACATACGAAAGGGCGTGTAAACAGGAAACAGTGATTGTGCATAGAAAGGCTGAAACTTGCAAAGTTGGGAGAATTTTATAATTGCACACAATTCCTTAAAAATGATGGCATCATGGTGATTTTATAATAGTTTTTTGGTGATAATTTTGTAATAATAGTTTTAATTTTTTTTTAAAAGAAGTCAACTTTAAGTCTGATGTCTTAAACTGTGTTCTAAAGTAAGAATTTCATTTAGGTACTCCTGTTGTGTAGTATGGTATAATGAAAGGTGGGCACTTGTATAACCACTTTAAGGGCTATCAAAATGCCTGAAATTCATTTAAGGAAGTAGTGGAATTTGAGGGGGTGGGTATCGAGAAATAACTGCTAAGGAGTTTAGGCTTCTTAATAAATACAATGAAGGTTTTATTAAAGTTACTTGAGTAGGAAAATTAGAATGGTTCTCTCACAGTAGTAGCTCTGTTGATAAAGTTTTTAGAAAACGATCAGTCCAAAATTTTGCTAGCCTATTAATGGAGGTTAGAAGAAAAATGGGGGTAGGGAGAACAATAACTACAGGACCAAAATGATGAGATTAGGCAAACAGCAGTGGCAAAGAAGAAAGACAACAGTTTGGAGGACAGACTTTTGTTTGGTGAAAGCCATCGTGGCACTTTATATATTCTATATCACATTATTTCAGCAACTAAGTCCCTAGAAAATGAAAGGGGTTATTCTGGAACTTCAACATTCAGCACTTAATAATACTGACAAAGTTCTTGCCCTCATTAAAACCAATGGAAAAACACAGAAAATAAATAAGTTGAAAAGAAAGAGTAACTGTTGAGTGTTAGACAGTGTTAATTGCTAAAACCAGGCACTGACACAGGAGGAAAAGGGTGGAGTTTTGCGATTAGGTAGATGGATAGATGGACCATTCTGAAAAATGTCTGACTTACTCTTCCTTATTTCCTTTGATATGAAAAAGTATCACTCTCATTTCACAGAGAAAAATGAGACTTAGTGAGGTTTAGGAATTTTCCCAATGTTAGACAGATAGTCAAGAAGGTAGGATTTCAGCAGGTGTGTTGTCCTGTGATCAACATTGCATCACAGATGGCAGGCTGTGCAAAGATTTGACTGGATTTTATTAACTGATTGCAATATACCAGGAGAAGTAAGGAAAAACATGGGTAATTGGGTTATTAACTTATTTAAGAGAAATTTCAGCTGACATTTAAAGGATTTTGGTAGAAAGGTGAGTTTGGTCATGTTTACTTGAGTAGGATTTTGATGGAGAGATATCAGCTATACTTTGGAAATTCAGAACTGAAATTCAGAACTGGTGTTTTGAGCTTGAGATGTAAATCCAGTAGTCATTTGCTTGAGGTCATGGTTGAAGCCAAGCTTTCTCAGGAAGATACAGAGAAGGATGAATGCTGAGAACTAAAGACAGAGCCTTGGGGCATGGTTTCATTTTGTGGGTAGCAAGCCGGGATTCAGCGAGGATAACAGAAAATTAATCCTGGGGGGAAGACCAAAAACAAGCATAGCTATTATTATCATTTATATTAAGGGAGTAGAGTGATTTTAAAATGAAGACTGTTTAAAGGGTCAAGGAAAATTAGACCTGAGATGTAAGTATATGGAAAAGCTTTTATGGTTTTAATTGTTACGGTTACATAATTGTATACATTTATGGGGTACATGTGGTGTTCTGATACAGGCATATAATGTGTAATGATCAAATCAGAGTAACGGGGGCATCCATCACAAAAAGCATTTGTCATTTCTTTGTATTAGGGACATTCCAGTTCTACTCTTTTAGTTATTTTAAAATATACAATAAATTATTGTTAATGAGTCACCTGTTGAGGTACTAGATCCTATTCATCCTATCAAAATGTATTTTTGTATCCATCAACAATCTTCACTTTATTTCCTGTCGCCACTACCCTTCCTAGCCTCTGATAACCATCATTCTATTTTCTATCTCTATGAGTTCAGTTTTTTTTAAATTTTAGTCCCTTTATATGAGTGAAATTTATGAAAACATGGGAAATTTGTCTTTATGTGCACTTAACATGTCCTCCAGTTCTAAAACTAGTCATAAAATCAGATAGACTATAGAAAAACTGAGCAACCCTGTTAACAAATAGGTTCTAAGTGATGTTTATACACCCAACAATAGCAAAACACATCATCTCAAGTGTTCAGAGAAGATATCATGGTCCCTAAATCCAATGTCAATGAACTTAAAAGAATTTAAATAAGGGCAGTGTCTGTGGCTCAAGGAGTAGGGTACTGGCCCCATATACCAGAGGTGGTAAACCCGGCCCCGGCCAAAAACTAAAAAAAAAAAAATAAATAAAAGAACTTAAATAATGTAAGATCTATTCCCTAATGACAGAATGATACGAGGAAAATCTCCAACACCTTGGAATCCAAACAGCAAACTTCTGATAAATTCATTGTCTCAGAAGAAATAAAGAAAGCCATTATCAGTAGAAAAGTATAAATACAAAATATTAAAATTGGTGTGACACAGCTAAAGTAATTCTGAGAGGAAAATTTATAGCACTAAATTTGAAAAGAGGGAAAATCTCAAATTAGTTATCTATGCTTCCCACTCAAGACACTAGAAAAGTGACAGCAAAATTATCCCAAAACAAGCAGAAGGAAAGAAATAATAAAGAGTATATAAGTTTGATGTAAATATTCCAAATTATATATAAAACCAGCATATTGTGCCCCATAAATGCAGTAATGTTCACAATTATGATCTAATAAAAAAAGTATATAGCAGTGAAGTGAAAACAAAATATTGAGACAATTGGTAAGACAGAGATCTTGTTCTTTGAAAAGTTGAATAATATTATCCCTTATTTGTCTTTTCAATGTAGTGCTGGAAAATATAGCTAGTGCTATAAAGTGAGAAAATGAAACAAAAGGTATAGAGATTGGAAAAGAGGAAATAAAACTTTATTTGTAGATGAAATGGTCACTTATGTAGATTCCCAAAGAATCTGTAAAATAAAATCTTTGAACTAATTAATTAGTAAGGTAGTATGGTTGCAGGACACCAGATAAATATACATAAATTAGTTGTATTTCTCTATGCTAAAAATGAACACATGGAAATTAAAAATATAATTTGCAAATGCTCAAAAAGATAAAAAATATATAGTACATCTATGGCAAAAATTGTATAATGCTGATAAAAGAAGTCACAGATATAATAAATGGAGGGCACATAGTGTCTATCAATCAAAACACTACATATACTGTCTTAATTCTATCCAAATTGACATACAAATTTAATGCAATTCCTGTCAAAAATCTCATACAATTATAAGCAGAATTATTCTAAAATTTATATGGAACGGTAAAGAAAGAATGTCTAAAACAGCTTTGAAAAACAAGAGTAAACTGGGAGAAATCAGTTGCCTGGGTTGAGATGTTTATAGCTACTGTAATTAAGACTGTAATAATAGTGACATATAGACACATAAATCAGTGGAACAGAATGGAAAACTTAAGAATAAGTTCATACAATATTGCAGCTGAATTTTGACAAGTGCAAAAGCAATTTGATGAAATAAAAATAGCCATTTTAACAAATGATTCTTAGCAATTGGGCAGTTGGACACAGATAGCCAAAACAAATGACAACAAAAATCCCCCAAACTTTTAATCTAAATTCCACAGCTTATATAAAATTTAATTTGAAAATAGGTCAAGGTGCTAAATGTAGAAGTATAGACGTTTAGAAAAAATATGAGAAAACCTTTGGGGTTTTATGCTAGGCAGTTCTTAATCCTGACATTAAAAGGGAAAAGCACAATTTATAAAAGGGAAAAAATGATAAAGGGTACCTAATCAATTTTTTTTTTTTTTTTTTTTTGCAGTTTTTGGCCAGGGCTGGGTTTGAACCTGCCACCTCTGGTATATGGGGCTTGTGCCCTGCTCCTTTGAGCCACAAGCGCCACCCCATAATCAAATTTTTTAAAACTTTTATCTGTGAAAGACCCAACTAACAGAATGAAAAGACAAGCTGCAGAGTTAGAAAAGTATTTGCAAACCATATGTATTAGTTTGCTAGAGCTGCCATAACAAAGTACCAAGGACTAGGTGGCTTAAAAAACAGAATTCTTTTTTCTTTTTCTCTTTCTTTCTTTCTTTCTTTCTTTCTTTCTTTCTTTTTTTTTTTTTTTTAATAATTCTAAAGACTAGAAGTCCAAGATCAAGGCATCAGCAAGGTTGATTTCT